AGCTGAAGCCTGAGCTCCCTCTGAGGGGAAGGGCACTTGCCTGCCAGAGGCAATGGGGAAAGGCCAGGCTAGCTGAACTTGCCCTGCATGTCACCTGGAACCCAATCATGATCCCATCTCCAGAACCAGTGCTGGGCTGGGGATCTGGGTGCCCTGTCTGGGAGGACTCCTGACTCTCCTGTCTTCAGGGCAGGGAGCCTAGCCCTACAGCAGCCCCTGACACTTGACACCTGAGGATTCAGCTCACCTGTGACTAGGCTCTGCCCTCTGCTAGTCCTGTTCAGGTGGGAAAGCAGGCATGAGAGAGGAAAAGGAAGTAGAGACTTTGTCCTGTGCTGAGCTCTGCCTACTGTCTCCTGGGCTCAAGGTGGGGTCCTCCAGCAATCCCTCACCTCCTGCTCCCCCATCCTGAATGGCAGGTGCGCTTCCTGGAGCAGCAGAACAAGCTGCTGGAGACCAAGTGGCAGTTCTACCAGAACCGCAAGTGCTGCGAGAGCAACCTGGAGCCTCTGTTCGAGGGCTACATCGAGACGCTGAGGAGAGAGGCTGAACGTGTGGAGGCCGACAGTGGGAGGCTGGCTGCAGAGCTCAACAATGTGCAGGAGGTGATGGAGGGCTACAAGAAGAAGTGAGTGTGGTTTACCCAGCTGATGGCTTAGCTTCAAACCTGGCACCAACAGGGAGAGGGAGGAGGGAGGCAGTGTGCAGCCCAGCCAGGCCCAGGGAGCTTCAGGAACCACTATCCTGTGGAGGTCAAATCCCAACATCTGCCTGCTGCAGGCTGAGGGTCTCAGAAGATTCTGGTCCCGCTCAACTTGCCACCCTGGACTGAGACCCTGCTCTCTGGAAAAGCAAACCACATAGCTCCCTCATTCCCTTGCTGAGTCTCAGGCTCCTATACCCACAGCCCCTGATCACATCCAGCCCATGGACTGAGGAACAACAGGTCTCAGGTTCTGGGGACACAGCATTTTGGGTGCTGAGTCCTGAGGCCTCTGGGTCCCCTACTCTGGACCTGGGACCAGAATCTAGGTGAAGGGAGGCTGGCACTGCTGGGCCCAGAGGCTGCAAAGGCTGCTTCTAGCACAGGGGATCAGGAGTCCTTGTCTGTCCTCTGAGCTGACCTCACAGCAGCCTTGGCAAAGAGCCTGGGGCATTCCAGATGAGCCTCTCCACCCCCCATGCAGACAGAGTGCACAGGGAGGCCCTGCTCAAGCCTCAGTCAGCCAGGAAGTGAGGTTGGGGAGACTGGCCTTCTCTGATATCCCTTCCCTCTCATCTCAGGTATGAAGAGGAAGTTTCCCTGAGGGCCACAGCTGAGAATGAGTTTGTGGCTCTGAAGAAGGCAAGTAGCAGGGAATGGGAGGAGCTTCCTGGGACCCTGTGGGTGGGGAGGGGCAGGTAGGTCTTCCTGGAGTCTCAAGTGCTCAGCCTCAGGGTGGGAGCAGGCAGCTTGCACATCAGGATGGCACTCCGTGTTGTAGCCAGGGCTCTGGGATGTCTGGTGATGCCCTACTGG